GCTTATTTATTTTTTAGCTTATATTAACTGGCACTTCTATTTCGTGAATTCTGCCATCGTATTTGTTCTGTCGATATCTGTTGCCATGCCGGTATTTTGTCCTTCCCCGCTCTTTTAAAAGCTTGGAGCTTCTGGCAGTATTATTTGAAAAATAAATAGCTTTGGTGCTGATAACAAACTGGTTGACTAAATGCGCTCGGGGTGCATTGTACGACCTACTGATAAGCATGGCAAAATCCTTGATCTTGACGCTGCGTTTCAACTCGCAAGTTTATGCTGCTAAACCAACTTAAATGTTTTTGTACGTATTTTTGTCTAAAGCGTTTAGCTTAGCATAGTGCAAGAATAAAACAAAGATTGATAAGAACTCGAGTTCATAACAAAAAGTTGCGCGTCGAGCCCAGCGGGCAACGCTTCTGATATGATAATGACAGCATCGCAAAATATACAAAATCAATTTTCAATTATACATCTGGGAGTTACATTTTTGGAGATAAAACAGCAAACTTACAATGGTGGATGATGCGCATTAAAATACATTTTACAAATTATTTTAAAATTTTGCTAAAGAAATTTAAAGTAGAAGACAAATATTTAATCATTATTTGAATGGGAAATATTAAGTATATAACATTTATCGCTCTTCAGGGGGTCATGACACAATTTGGAAAATTCAGAGAGTGAGAACAATACAGAAACTAACGAATTGTTAAATTGTTTATATAAACCATTATGGCAAAAGAAATTATATTTAACTTATGACAAAATATGATTTTTATGATATAAATTAATATGATTATGATAATGATAAGTAAATATAATATAAATATGACAAGACCCAGGTAATCGTCTATGTTTTTTTACTTTCGACCAATAGTACTCGTACCGATTAGTAGGGTTTGAGGGTTTTAATCCACATGTTAATCAAGATATGCGGAACTGCGGTTTTCCTTTTGCACCACACACCTAAAAGTATCCTAGCGCCTAATGTGGATCAAGTCAAATCGGGCTCCTAAGTTAACTATAATCCCAACTTAATCACTGGATCAGTAGCTAAGTAGCATTTTCCGGAATGGAAATATGGAGCTACCTGCTTAAGTCTACCAATCATGACAACTGCTTTAACTTAATCGTCATACATGATCATAAATTGCAATTTGCTACAATTTATATTTTCTTATGCTTTTACCTCTTTAAAGCAGATGGGACCTGGATTAGGAAGGAAAAAATGTTACGTCTACCTTCAGAAGCGGATTAAATTTTTTCAGACAAATAATCCAGCCTTAAGCATGGTGATTAAGCTTGATCCCCTACCAAGGGGCGTAATATTGACGGATTTTCCTTAAATCCCTCGCTTAATCTCCGGCTTAGAGCGCGACGCGTTTTTTTCGCGACACCGTCTGCATTGTTTTTTTTTTTTTTTTTCATTTTCTTCAATTCTCAAGAAGGCAGGCCCATGGACGGAATGAGGATCATAATTATGGAATTCCTAAATACACTAAGGAGGGCAGTCGATAAGGCATTGATCTACCTGTAAGCGTGGGTTCCGTCTTTGCCCCTTAAATTCGAGACTCTCTAGTCACAGGTAGTCCCGTATTCCAGCCTTGAGCTCGTCGGCAATTAAGAAGTCAAATTTCACTTAAAAACAACAAAAAATGTCAAAGGAAAAACAATGCAAAAAATATGCGTAACTGAACTAAATCCGGCTTAGGATCCTTCCATAATAAACATGGCCAGCCAGTCTTTCAAATTTGATCGTTTGCATGTCACTCTTGCACCGTAAACGAAGTCGCCACATCGGTTGAAACTCAGCGGCTTTAGCTATCTCACTCCTTCGCACACCTTTTTTAAATAATTGACTTGTCTTTTTTACGAATGCAAAGATGTACAAGTACTTGTGTACTTCCGTTTTTTAACGTCCGATTTTATTATTAGACACTAGTCAGGTAAAAACTGTGATTTATTATGGCTAAGAAGTTTTTTAACTTTCCGCACCCTGGTTCTCATATCGTTCAATAATTATCACGTAGAATAGTAAACGCTTTGTAAAGGCTCTTTTAAATCATTTATTTTAGGACTATTTACTTCTCAGACCATGTAAACGTTTAATTTATTTTATAGAAAAAAAGGATTAGACACCAGACAAATGTTAGACAGGGACAACTAGGCGTGGATATTATTATATAAGTACAACCATGACATATATGTACATATACCCTAATCCAACTTTTTATCCAAGTTCTTGACTATCATTATGATTACCAGATACGAAAGCTGCTTATTCATGCAAACATTTTTCTTAGACTGTGACCCCGATTGATCCATGTTCTCGTCATAAAAAATATTATTTGATATTTTTCAGATCGTGTGTAACGACATAAAAGTATATATTTGTTTTAAACATAAGTAAGGTAAACATAAAATATCTCAGAAACACTTTAACGGCAGAGCTGAGTTCAAGTATACTTCTTAAGCTCGTTCGAAAGGGGTTTTCCATCGCATTCAATATTATATTTAAATAAATCTAAGCCGTTCCATAGCAGCTTAAGGTTGCGTGGATTAGGACTGACGATTACCGACTGGTTAAAGACAAGTACGTGAACAAAATTCAATCCTGTTCTCGATACTTTGTCAACGGATTAATATTAAATCAGAGGCTCTTTATACGTTTTTACGTACTTCTTAATCTTAGCGTACATGTGGTAACAGATATTAACAATACTATCGATACTATGGACTGACCATAAATAAAGAAAGCAAACCCTCAAAAAATGGAACAGAAACCCAATCGAGTGTTACAAATTGCTAAAAAATTGTGGGCACACTTATGGGATGTCAAACAATTAAAAAAAACCCTATCCGTACCCCTAGGGATGCTTCAAATTACAACCGTTGCATCCCGTGTTTTAGGTCTTTACTTTCAACTTTATTCCGCTTTTTTCCCTTCTTTTATTGGCTCATATTCCCTTTGTCCACAGCTCTCGTTTTCACCATATATTTGCTCAATAATTGATCGCTTCTTTCGTAAAAATAATATAATTTTAAATGTTTTCGCCAAGCGCAAGGTTTCCTTTAAAATTAAGTTAAACGCGTTTAGAATATTAGTTTGGTGCAGCTTTATAAACCTTAAATTTAATCACGTAATACTACACATCAATATTAAAGAATAATAAAATAATTATGCAAAGAAAATTATGCTTTATAAAAAGAATAAAACTGAATTTGTTGACCAAGGTAAGTTCCCCTACTTCGGACCTTATCAACATCCACGACCATACGCACTTCACTACGCACTACTGGCCCATTTACACAAAAATCTTTAGTTCACATTGCCAATCTAAACCTAGTCTACTTTTCTTTTACTCGCTTTGATAATAGTCTAGTTTAGTGATTGTCGACGAAGTCATTGAAGATAAGGCCCGGATCTTATTAAAATCAGTTGAGCTTAAATGGATTTTAATATGAAGCCGTACATTGCTGCTTATCACGCAAACAATCCAAAAAATTTTCTGACTAATCACCGAAACCTGGGACTTGTCTGAAGATGTGCTAAAGCCGGTCAGATCAGTCCGAAATTCAAGAATCTCTTATCAATAGGGTCATATTTAAGCGCTATTCTTGCATATTTTTCAATGCCTTCTGCGAATTTTGTTTTGGTGGAAATCTTACGATGAAGTTGACCGTGCTCATTCCATGGCAAAAACCATTCTGATTTTACGTAACGTTATGCAGAGCAAGGATATTTTGCTTTTGTTTGGTTTCACTTTCTCAAAATCCACGGTAGTTCGAATTTACCACCCGGCGAGCTCTGCGCGTCCTTGGCCTACCTACAAAACCGAAAATACCGATCTACACTCATTTTCAACGAACATTTAGCACAGCATGTCCTTGCCATAAAAATCTACATAAAACCATTTAAAAGTCAATCCGCAAAAGTCACAGAAAGCGTCCATGCAAGCAGAAAAATGCCAACGCTTCAGCTCTCTAACCGTTTTTTATGATCTTTTATTTCTACCTGAATGCGTTTTTTACTAGTTCCTTTTTTATGATTTCTTTTTAGACGTGTGCCAATAATTAGTTACCCATTAAACTGAACTTCCACTTTTTTGAGACTGCTCAACAGGCTACAAGCGAAGACAAAAAACTCACTCAGTCTAGATGATAAAAAAAACTTCGACCTTTTTTCTTGCTTTGTGCACTCCTTAAGCCGATGTTTTGTTTACTTCCTGTTCACTCTTACAGCGCACGCTTGAAATTCAACCCCGTCCGAGACATCTCTTTTCATGACTTTTGGCTCTTTTGCTCTCGCTGTTTCCCTTTCGCCCAGTTCTCCATTGGCGTTCATCCCCCTTAGCCAACTTAGATATTTTCTATAACTCGAATGTTAAAAGGGGAAATGACCAAGGCACATCTGAGTGAGTTTTTTTTGTGCGTCCCTTAGTTATTCTGATAACTCCTACGTGATCTTTATTTGGCGAAATGTTCTCGCAAGTGCAGTTTTTATGAAGGCTCTAAAAACACAAGCGGAAGTGGTCAAAAGCATTAAAAAAATGTCCTTTAATGGTCAACACATAGTTTTGATTTTTTTATGTTTTATGACTGACTAGAAACGCACAGGTCATAAAAACCATCTACTGAGCGAAGATAATTCTCATCGGCATTCTATGTTAAAAAACCACATCGTCCGTATTGGACTTCAGCTAACTAAATGTCTTCGGCATTGAAAGGAATCACTGGCTATCTCGCTCGCACTAATTTGCATATGAAAAATCAGCACTTTTAGGTATAAAGAGGAACCGATGAAATCCGCTCACTCAACTCAGCGAAGTACCCAGTTTATACTTTACCTGCTTCGGGCTTGGGGATCGTTTTTCGCTTTCGCCGTGATGATTTCCCTTCCCGTTTGTACGCGTATTTGCGTGCGTGTGAGCGGGAGAGCGCATTGAGTTCCCGTGTGCGTGCGTACGAGGGTGAGTGAGACTCTTTCGCCGAGACAGAGTGTACTTATAGTTAGCTCACGCAGCGAATTTGTATCAGTCGTGATTTGGCTCTGTCAGCGAAAGGAACAACCATTTGTTGTGCCACACACAACCGCGAATAATATAATCGAATCAAATTTCAACTACCTCATTTTGCAAAATCGGTGAACTTTTATAAAAGAAAATTTTAGTGAAATCTCTCTACCTCAAAGTACAAAAGTGCGTAAAGGAAATTGTTCATATCCCTGAAAGTGCACAAATTGCTCAAATGAAATCTGTTGTTTAAAAAACTGAAGTTACAAAACTACTAAGGCGCATATTAAGTGTTTGCTGAGTGGAGGGGAAAATTGCGCGAGCATAAAATTACAAGCACAGAAAAAATTTATAGATGTCCATATCAATGCTTCAAGACGCACAAACGCGAAGTAAGTATTAGCAAATATTAAAATATTCCCCCATTTTTTTTTAACTATTTAGAAGTTCTTGTGCCCGATGACTTTCTTATTTAGTCCTTTAATTTGTGATCAAAATCAATCACTCTATGATTTGGTAGATAATGTCTTGATGTCCTTAGAATAGCGAAGGCAAATGTAAAAAAGACAAAACACACATGTACACACACCGATCAGTTGGGCTGTGTTTACACGTTTGGACAGGAACCGGCACTTTAGTCGTTATCGACCAAAACAAAAGCTAGTTAGTCGCAAATAGAGAGCTGCCAAAATACTAAGAGTACGGAGAGCACGAAACTTTCTCTCACACATGTGAGAAACAACATACAAAACAACATTCAAACCACATACATATGTGAAATTGTTTGCTCTTTTAAGCCGTTGCTCTTAAGAAGAGGTCTCATCAGTATTAAGACATTTCCAAATTATATCCCTTTATTAAACAGTCTAGTAACTTATGATTTTTTTTTGCCTTAGCTGCTGCATTAGCATTGCTCTTAAGAAGAGGTCTCTTCAGTAGCAAGACATTTCCAAATTATATCCCTTTATTAAACAGTCTAGTAACTTATGATTTTTTTTAGCCTTAGCTGCTGCATTAGCTGGCATAAAACAAGAGGACGTCGCTCTGGACCGTTCCATGTCGCTTTCACCTCCCATGTCGGCCAACACATCAGCTACAAGCGCCGCTGCGATGTACCCAGCTATGGGTCTCCAACAGGCGGCAGCTGCCTCAGCTTTCGGAATGCTCTCACCCACCCAACTTCTGGCTGCAAACCGTCAGGCTGCCGCATTCATGGCCCAACTGCCCATGAGCACATTGGCGAACACTCTCTTTCCACACAATCCGGCGGCCTTGTTTGGGGCTTGGGCTGCCCAACAGTCGCTCCCGCCCCAGGGCACGCATTTACATTCGCCGCCAGCCAGCCCGCACTCGCCGCTGTCTACGCCTTTAGGAAGTGGCAAACATCCTTTAAATTCACCTAACAGCACGCCCCAGCACCATGAGCCAGCGAAGAAGGCTCGAAAGTTGTCGGTTAAGAAGGAGTTCCAGACCGAGATCAGCATGAGTGTAAACGATCTATACCACACACCGGGAGGCCCCATATCTCCGCCTTCCAGTGGCAGCTCGCCCAATTCCACGCACGACGGAGCGGGTGGCAATGCTGGCGGTGTTTCTGTCTCCAAGGATCCATCTCGCGACAAAAGCTTCACCTGCAAAATCTGCTCACGCAGCTTTGGCTATAAGCACGTGCTTCAGAACCACGAACGCACCCACACCGGAGAGAAGCCTTTCGAATGCCCGGAGTGCCACAAACGGTTTACCCGTGACCATCACTTAAAAACCCACATGCGTCTGCATACTGGAGAGAAGCCATATCATTGCTCGCACTGCGATCGTCAATTCGTTCAGGTGGCCAATCTTAGAAGACATTTGCGAGTCCACACTGGAGAGCGTCCCTATACGTGTGAAATCTGCGATGGCAAATTCAGTGACTCCAATCAGCTGAAGTCCCACATGCTGGTCCACAACGGCGAAAAGCCGTTCGAGTGCGAACGCTGCCACATGAAGTTCCGACGGCGCCACCATCTAATGAATCATAAGTGTGGCATTCAGTCGCCGCCTACTCCAGCTCTGTCACCAGCCATGAGTGGAGATTACCCCATGGCAGTCTCAGCAATGGCTATCGACTCATCCACGAATAAATTTGCGGCAATGTGTGCCAACTATGGAGGTTCCGATGAGTCGGTCGACATGGAAAAAGCGACAACGGAAGACGATGGTCCATTGGATTTGTCTGAGGATGGAGCCAGCTCTGTGGATGGCCATTGCAGCAGCATCGCACGACGCAAGGCACAGGACATTCGACGAGTGTTCCGCCTACCTCCACCGCAAATCCCTCACGTACCCAGTGATATGCCTGAGCAAACCGAGCCAGAGGATTTGAGCATGCATTCGCCCCGCTCTATCGGATCTCACGAGCAAACCGATGATATAGACTTGTATGATTTGGATGATGCCGCTGCTCCTTATATGGGCCATCAACAACATTAGGCCAGTACCATACCGAATTGTACATAGCCATAATCATTTTTCATTAGATGAAATTGACTGGCATTTATTAAAACAAAATTTAAAATTTTGATATTTCGAAGTGGGAAGTAAAAATTGTTGCAACAGGAATTTAATAATAAGTACAAGTTAAAAAAAATCACAATACATACGAGACTAGAAAAAGATTAGCGCATACACAAAAAAAAAAACTCAAAAATTGTACAAAGTAAGCCATGCCATATGCTTGTTGCCGCCAAACCCCACCAAATCAAATCGAAAATGTCGTGCCATTCTTTACCTTAAATTTAAGTTATATTCTTAGGTTCCGAAGCATCTTAAATTGTACATATTCAGCTTACGCAACTGCCAATTATAAAGTAATCGGCGGTCTAAAATTGTATTGTAACAGAAAATGAAAAGACAAAGTTTAATTAGGAAATCTATAAATAATTTAATTTAATTTATTAGCTTAATTTTATATAATTTTGATAAAATTCTTTAAGAAAACAATGCCAATAATCTTCAAATCAAAACTAACTTTAAGTTAAATAATAAAAAAACATTTGTTCGCTAATTGTTTTGTTTGCATTTACTATTTAAAACTATTATTATATATAATAAATGAGTTAGTCCTGTTTTTAAGCTCATTCTATATCTATACACTTTTATATTTATACTTCAATAAATATTTGGTTCAATTGTTGCTGCTTGAAATATAAACAATAAATAAAAAAGGAAAAACAATTCTAATGTTTATATTTAACTGTTTCGTTTTTTATTTGAAAGTTCAAAACCTTAAAAGCCGTTTACACAGTTTATCCTCATTTTCACCCATTTTTTACAAATATATTTTGGTTGTTGCAAACTTCAAGAAATGTTAATATATATTCCAAAAGCATAACCTTAATAAAAATGTAGATCAATGCGTATCAAAAGTATATTAAACCCACTTATCTTAGCACTCGTAAATCTTAGTTATAATTGTAAGACTTGAACCAAATACACAGGAAGAAAATGCTATAACCAAATACCTCCAATACCTCTGTATCGAAATTGTTGTGAGCTGAACAGTATATACATTCAACAATTTGGCAATCGTACAATTTAACTGAATTTATATACAACACTTAGAAATATAAATTAAGAAGCAAAAACAATTTATATGTATTGCAATTTTAATGCATATTTTAAAGGACCTAAAATAAGAAATCAATTTTGAATACTAGGCAAATTTGAACTAGATGTAAAAATATTTAAGGTTGTATATAACAATATAAATGTACACTTTAAAATAATTTTAGTGCAATGTTTGGTTATGTTTATCAGTAAGCTAACAAATTTACTGCTTTTATTTCAAAACGTTGTAAAGTCATAAAAATGCAACAAATTAATATGTAATTTTCTTTGTTCATTCAAATGTATGGTATACAAGTTCCTCAAAATTAAAAGAATACAAAACTTATAAACTAAAATAGAATGTGCATTTCGAATCATTTGAAAGTAAGCGCACGAAAGACCTCAAATACATATGTTTCATATTAATTGTGTACAGCAACACTTGACGTTTAAACCGATAGATGTAATTAAATATATAAAATCACCACTGTCAATTTATATGTAAATATATTATAACCCTAACTGAGGATAGGGATGTGCAATGTATTAAGAAATAAGCGTTATTTGTGTTAATTTTGGGGTTTTTATAATAAAACCTTTAAATACATACATACACCTTGTAAAATACATCAGTAAATATAAAAATAGAAAATTTATATTATGGATATGTCAGTCGAGTATACAATAAGTAAACAAAACTGTTACTTTTTGTCATAACTATTACTTCTCTAGTTTAATGTCCTTCTTGCAGGCGTTTGACCTTTATGCATATGTTTAATAAATATATACGTATACATACTGAATAACTATTTATTAAATTTTAAATGTCTGGGAAACAAAAAAAAAAGAAATATATATATATACATATATATTTAAATATTGTGCTAAACAAAAAAATGTTTTATCAATTCGTAAGGAAATAACACCGCTATATGTAATGAGCCACCGGTTTTTTGATTTTTCGTAAAGGCAAAAACGGGCAGCATTACATAAATTTTTAATTTATGCAAACGAAGCCCTTTCGCATTATTTTACATTTGCCACAAGACGCCCCACTAATGCTGTCGCCACGCTCCTCCCCATGCCCAACCCCCTTTCGTCATCCCTTCACTGGAATTTAAATTTACGTCTGCAGGCAACGGCAGCAGCTGAGCAAAAACGAATATAAAAATCGCACCGCGCAGTCAGAAAATGTCACAGTGTTTTTTTTCATTTAATCTCCAGAGAGAGAGAGAGAGCAAACATCTACAACGCTATGAAAGAAAGTCGATACCACCCACTCATGCCCACCTTCAACCTTCCCGCGGATCTGACGCCTTCTCTTCTTTGTGCCCCTTTCAACAGCCAAAAAAGGCTTCATCCTGGCAACCCTCTATATATAAAATGGTATGTACGAGTATTACATAAAGAACGTCTTATGTACTTACATATACATATATAAAACGGTCTAGAAGAGTGAGACGCAGGACAAATGCTCACGTTTTGCTCTGCTTATTAGCATTTTAGCCTTTTTTCTTTTAGAGTTCTGTAAACATAATCTGTGAGCATACACGTAAATAAAAATAATTTAACAAGTAAAAAGCGGAACGTAAGGTTGTCCAAAAAAAAGTTTACGCACCATTTTACTTTTAAAAGCTAATTGCCAAATAAATCTAAAGAAGAAAAAATTCTTGGTAATTACTGTTTTTGAAGTATAGGTATATCTTTTTCGGACCCCCCATTCTCACCTTCCTAAGCTTTTTTCTAGCTGTCTAATAAATGATTTGATATTGGATTTGGTATTGGGGATTTGGTTGGGCGTTTTTTTGTTTATGAAATGAGTAGAGAAGTGTTTGGCTGTTGAAATATTTTTTTCGTGTGCCGCAAAAGAATGAAAATAAAAGGCATGCAAAATGAATTTAAAGGCTTCGCTGGCAAAGAATCGCTGACGCACCCAACTGTCGCTCATTATTCAAATTGAAAAATTATAATTTTCACTCACAGTTTGCAACGTCCGAAAATGAGAATAAGGACGAATTCTAGGCGCCCATCCAAGCAAGGCATTATAATAAGCTCCCTAAAGGGAAACGGACAATAGAATGAAATATAGAGAGGGGGTAGATGGGTCACCTCAGACTTCCTTTTATTTGCAGCCTTGGGCTATTTCTCGAATTTTATTTTTAAAAAACAAGAGAGAGCGCCGCTATGGTCGAGTTCCACGACTATCAGATACCCGTTACGCAGCTAGTGGAAGTGGGAACGAGAAATGTCAAAATTGTTCTGTCATATTGATACAAATTTTGAAAAGCAATAGTAAGAGTTGGGGTGGCAGTTTTGGGCGGTTTGTGGGCATTCGAGTGGGCGTGGCAACATTATAGATCCTGGACTCCGACGTTCATAGCGACAGACAGACAGTCGGACATGGTCAGTCAAATCGACTCAGATATTGATCCTGATCAAGAATATATGTACATATACTTTATGTGGTGGGAAACGATTCTTTCTACGTGTAACACAGCGAGTAAAGTCAAAACCATGTGAATCGTATAAAACTGTATAACAAACTGTAGTCATGTATATGAAAATGTGTTGCTAATGTTTTACGGTGAGTTTGTACGTTACATTTATATAAATCTTGCTCATTTTTTAGCAAAGAAAATACATTTCTGTAGACCAGAAGACCATGGGTCTACCACCTAGGGATAAACAAAATTATTTTAAACAATAGTAAAAAGGAACAAAACGGTCTTAAGGAAAGCGAAAAACACATGCGAACAGCAAGGGTCACTATAAGCCAGCAGGACCTAAGCAGGTCATGCAAATTTAGGCAAACACAATTAGCAAGGGATCGGGATCAAGACTAGCAGTGCCTCGCTTACAAATGAGTTCCCGCAAAATGGTAGAATATGGGTTGGAAAACATTGCCTCATCTCTTACAAATGGTACATACCAAGAAAGTGGGTGAGCAAAAAAGAAAAAACACTCATTATAATTTTACAATTCTACTCATACTAATTTCGCTTGGAATTTTTGAGATTGGCCCTTCTCTTATCAAGTACACGTAGTATAAGCGAAGAAAGGGCAACAAGAATAACGGCAAGAAAAAATGAAAAACAACCCTCTCAACCAGGACAGCAGCGACTGCGAAGCCGACCGCGGCGTCAGCAGCAACGATAACGAAAAACTCATTTGCATACGAAGTGCTTTCGCTTTCTCTCCTTGCCAATCCCTCCAATTCTTTATTTTGAAGCATGGCGGCGGCAATAGGCCACCTGCGACTGTCGAAAAGAGACGGTGACCAACGTGCGTCCTTGTTGCACCTTTGCCGTCATATAAAAGAGTTTAATCCTGGAATAACGCAGTCACAGCCAAGAAAAGCGTCGACCTGGAATGGGGCAAAGCTTCCCGGACTTTCGTCTAGCTCGCTGACTCGCATCCTTCGCTACTCATTATCAAGCAGCGAGCGTTAAACTCATTGAGACGTTTCCATCTTTGCTTCCCATCGCCCAACACCCCCTGCAGCAAAGCTTTTCCACGCAGCAGCTCTCAGCGGTTTCCCTGACTCATTTATATTTTTCATTTTAGTCTCTCAGATGTTCACCGAAAGCTATGTATGTAGAAGCAAAAAGACATTTTTCCTTAACGAAAATTACGAACAACCCCTTTTGGAATTAGATGCAGAGAAACGAAGAAACAAATGAAGCAAAGGAAGCGAGTACAAAAAACCGTCAGCGTGAAAGCTTAAGAAATGAGCGTATATTATTCATGGAATTAACGTCGTACGCAGAAAAGGCGAAGCGCAAAGACGGGTAACTTTACTCAGCATGGGATTTTTAAACATTCGTTTAAACGAATTCGGGAGTGTACTTGCGAAGGGCTTTAAAATTTTCGTAAGAAAATTATGGCAATGACACTCAAACTAAGGGAACATATTTTGAAAGCACGTTTTTGATTCACCTTCGAAAAAAACCTTCTAACCATGCATTTCCTTTTTAAACATTTTATAACCCCTGCTAAATAACCATACTGCCAATTGTATAACGATATGTATGGTGACTACATAACATTAGACAAGTGAATTACTTCCCCCTAACACATATGTTTTTATTTACCACAAATTTTCGGCAATTTTAGACAAATTTACATGCATAACCCGCCACGACTTTGACAGCGGAAATGCCAATTTTCCAACAATGAC